CCCAGCAAGGGATGAGTTAACTATTAGCATATTGGGCAATACTTCAATTCACTTTCAATCGTACCTTATGTTGCAATTAGCCTCAGTGAATCACTGGGATTATTCATACAGGAATGTACAAAAGCACAAATATCAAAATCTGTTCTGTGTTCTCTTGAACATACAGGGTCAGATTATATCCAAACCCTGTAGCATTGTGCTAAGGAAACTGCCTGGCTTGACTTTTAGCAAGTTGCTTTTATTTAGTGCAAGTAAAAATCACATTCAGCTCTCCATTAAGAAATATTTCTTTTTTTCTAATTGAATCTCCAGACAGAGCAGGTACCCACACATGCATTTCAGCTCGCTTTGGTATTCAAATTACTCCCTTCTTGCCAACACATGTGAAGGTTACACATGCAGTCCCTTCCTAAGCTTATTATTTTTCTCAATAACATGGTGAATCTGGGATTCAGAGCACTTCTGAAGGCTTACTTTCCATTTACTTTTTGTTTTGCTTGGATAGGCTTCCAAATGGTCTTTTAAATTGCCTTTTCTAACAAATTAATTATGATCACAATTTATCAACTGAAAATAATTGAATAATAGCAATTTAGTAGTATTTCCAGTTTGGGAAATCCCATTACCCAAAATAATAACAATAATAATAAGCCTGAAGAGTAAAGAGACTCAAGTAAGTGATAACAACTATGCCAGACAAGTTGTTTACTAGTAATCTTATTAGTAGATAATATTTGCAAGTAATGTTCAGTGGGAAGCAGAAAAGGCTCTGGAGTCCAGTTCATTTTCTAAAGCTATTAAAAGCAATACCTGATAAAAAGCTACATTGCAAAAATATTTGTGGGTTTTGCTTCTAAGACATCTGCAGCATAACATTTTTCCTTTAAGTACTGGTAGTTTTCATACTAATGAGCATACATTTTATTGCAAATAATACATTTCTAAGCACTGAAATCTTACAGCTTTGTCATATGATGAAACAGGTAATAGGAACCACATAACAGCTCAGCAAGGGTAGAAAATACAAAACATTAGTAAATATATAAAAGAGGACTGAGAGCAAAGTGGAAATCATAACTATCATAGCCTAACTCAAAATATGCCCTGGTTTTGAAGTTTTAATTTCAGTATCTCAGAAATTGGATCAGAAATCTGGGAAGGCAGCAAAGGTAGTTGAGCAATAGAACCATTGCCTGAAGCAGTGGTGGTTTCATGCAAAGTGGGATTTAGGATGTTAGGACACATCAGGGACAGCTGAGGATGACTATGATGACTTTAAAACACAAATGGTGCAAAGAAGGTGAAGTGGAACAACTAGTAGAAGCTATGCAATAGGATTATTAACCAGTGGGCTAAGAAAGCAAAACAAAGCATTTTCTTTTACACTGAGAAAAAATTTACCTAAATAAATCCTTAGCAGTTAATGTTTTACAGTACAACTGGGTTTAACAAGGGAATTAGACAAGTTCATAGGTCCATCAGGGGCTATTAAATATGTTGGCTGAATTACAGACTTCCAGATAAGGATGCTGTAAACCATTTATTTCTAAAACCCACAAGGATGTTCCATAGAAACAACTCCTGTGTAATTGCCCCATTTCTGATACCCTTTTCCGAGGTATCCATTACCAGTTGTCATAGAGACCTGATTCTGAGGTAGATGGATTTTTGGTCTAACCCAACAGAACAGTGAAAATACTCTGCTGTGTTCTCTATCAAGTCTAGCCCTGCACATCTGGACTGCGTCCTTCCCCCAAGGAGAAAAGAAATTGATCGAAACTGAGTTTTTCAGTTTAAATTTTAATAGAGTTTCTTCTGCCGCTTTGTCCTTTATATCTTATTCATCAAAGATCTGATCCAAATCCTTCTGAAGAAAGCATTTATCTAAAATAAACAAATAAAATTTCATTTATAAAATTCTAATGTGAGACTTCTTGAAGTATTACATTTCCTTTTTGGGATCTGATCCATTTCATCCAAATCAGCTATTACGTTCTTGTAAGTAGAACATGCAAGAGCAGAAACTAAATTCTAATTCTCTTTATAAATGCAATTTAGCAGGTCTGTAAAATAAAATCAAGGATATTTTCTCTTATGAAAATATTACAGTGCAGCTGGGAAGTAGATGTAAATTTGCCTTGCCTATAAATGTGCTATTTATGTAACTGTAAAATATTCACCACAACAGAAATAAATATGCAATATGTGTATACTGGCAATATACTTAGAGTTATATTACATGGGATTACTCAAACTAACTCTAAAAGAAACAGTAAAAAAGGGGAAATCATAGTTTCGTTCGGAGAAGACACAAGATCATCATGTGTACTTGTACAATAGGAAGCAAATTACTTAGTCAAGAGCTAAAAATATGAGTCCTGTGATATTTCTAAGTGTAAAAAATGCAGGCCTGTGGGTTTCTTACAATGTTGACCCATTTTTATTCAAATGCCTCAAGAACCACAGCCTAAGTGCGTCATCATGTGATGAAGAAATGTCTGGCACTCCACCTTAAGATCTGCAGTTTGCCTGCCTCGGTCAAAATGTTTAAAACCAAAACAATACCAGCTTGGATTTAGCTGTGTTGCTGCCCTGAGTTGCGAACTCCATAGCCTCATAAAGAAGAAAACTTGCATACAAGGGAGGACATATGAAGCTACAATCAGAAAGACAGTCTCAATTCACAGTTGGGATTTCATATCCTTCGTTTCCACTAAGAGACTGAGAAGAAAATACATAAAATTGGTGCATCTCCAGATATTTTGCCATCCCTTGCACCAGTCCCTCCACTTTCCAGGTACAACAAACTGAGCTGAGTTTTATTATGCTAGGCCTTCAAAGGTGAGGTCACCTTTTTCAGTTTTTCTTCCACTGCATGATCAGGTAGGACAGAAAACATTGGGAACCTGTACCTTTTGTGTTGCTGTGGGTGCTCTCTCTGTTCACGTCAACATATGCAGCTTGATTTTAGTAAATTAAAGAACAATCAGTTCATTTTAATAGGTTGTGCATAAAAAAATCAGATTCTTTTTTAGTAAAAGCACCATTAGGTATAAAAAGCTGTTATGTGTAGTCTCTCTGTCAGTGCTGTAGTCATAACTTTTTGGCTGTCTTCTCAGGCTTTGCCACATATTAACTAAGTGACCTTGGATAAGCCATGGAAGTTTACCAAGTTGCAGTATAAATACTTAGAGGAAGGATGTGGAAGATCAAAATAAAATTAAATGCTGTGAGATGCGTATACACTTTCATAATTACATTTTATATTATTTTCAGCTCCTCCAAATTCCACAGAAAGCACTATTTCTAGAAGACTTTTTTTTTTTTTCTGCAGCTTTAACTAATTCATTTTATCTATAATCTTTTTTGAAAGTTGTGAAGTTAATATTTGTTAATAAAAGCACCACTCTGTATATTTTTTGCTTGAAGGCAGAAGACAGTAAGCACTGAAACACAACATATCAATACAGTATCATTTATAGTATATACTCAGAATATTTTTTTTAATAAAAAGTTTAAACCAAAAGCATAATTCACTGTGTTTCCTGTATTGTTTAGGCTATAAATGCTTCAAGGCAAGTGTTGTTTATCATACTACTCCTAACAGTTTTATGTGGCATCAAGCTTGTTGGATGTCTCTTAGTGCTACCACATGCAAATAAAACTACAGATATATTAAGAAATGAAGGGGTCACTAAAAGAAAAATAAAAAAGTTTAATTAGGACTAAAATTTCTTAGTTCTTTTTCTCTTAAGAAGCAGCTTTTCTTTGTATCATCAACACCTTATGCATCTCAAACATAAGGTAACAGTTTGTCTAGGCAGTTTCACTTTTTTATTCTGTTCAAACTGCGTTGATTGCGAAGTAGCCATCTATTTTGAGAATTTAATTAGTTGTCGTTGCTTCCTGGTCCTCTGAGATTTTGTATCGCAGGCTGTAAAGATCGCTGTCTTCATGAAACAAAGCTTCTGCCACCTCAGTGTATTTCAGGACATTTCTCAAGGGCCTCGCTCACTGTTTTTTTTTTTTCTTTTTTTCTTTTTTTTTTTTTTTCTTTCTGTCTTTCCTCTTTTTTGACGTACCAGTTTCAAGCTCCCTCCCACTTCTCCAATCTAGTTCTTTAGCTTGTGCTGTCCCTCCGTGCGTCGCTTTGGTTTTGACCTGCTTATCACCCTCCAGTATCTGACTGCTTGGAAGAGACCGCACAAATGCTGGACGATGACTTCTAGCCGAAGGAAATCCTTTTCCATCCAGGCTGTTCTGTCCCATTTTTGTTCTGGGAGCGGGCTGTGGTTTTGAAGCCCGCAGCCGCCCTGCTCTGCACAGCCTGGCACGGCGCTTCCCAGCCGCAGGGGGGTGACCGATGCCTCTGAAGAAACAACCCAAAGCCCCGTTTTACCACCCCTTTTTCCAAGCCCAAGAAATCTGGCTGTAGTGAAACGGCAAGGTTTCAAAGCCGTTTATTTATCAATATTTAGCGTGCCAACGCAGCTACCACAGGCGGCGAGGCAGGGCTCTGCTGAGCACCTCGCAGCCCCTTCCTCCTCCAGACGTCTCCTGGAGGCCTAACGCAGCCCCGGGGTGGCAGCGGGGAGAAAAGACCCGCAGGGGGCTGTACACAGAGGGGACAAACCCCTGCGGGCTTCGGGGACCCCCAGCGCCGCCATTTCGGGCTGAGGGGCGCCTGGACAGGGCTGGCGGGCGGCTGGACGGGGCCCGGAGGCTCGATGGGACCGGGAGGCTGGACGGGGCTGAGGGGCTGGATGAAGCTGAGCCTCGATGAGCCTGGGCGGCTCGATGGGGCGGGACGGGGCGGTCGCTGCCGTGCTCGGGGCTGGGCTCGCTCCGCGCCTCCATCTTGAGAGGGAGGGCAGGGGGAGGGCAGCGGGCGGCGCCGCCGCCGCCGGTCGTAGCTGCGGGCCCCCCCGGCGGCGCTCAGGTACCTCCGCCGAGGCGGGCAGGGGGCTGCGGCCAAACCCCCCGAGCGGCTGCGGGCGGTGGGTGGGGAGGGGAGGCGGGCAGCGGAGCCCCCCCGCCCGCTCGGCCCTGCCGCCGGGGGGGTGCCGCGGGCCGGAGGCCTCGCCCGCCCCGTGCCCGAGCCGAGGGGGCCGAGCGGGCGGTGCGCGGCCGGGAGCCGCCGTTCCTCGCCCCGGGGTCCTGCGGGAGAAGCCCCACACCCTCGTCGGGCTGTAGGGCCGCCTCCCTCCCCGGGTCGTGCGGCCCCTGCTCGGCCCGGCCCGGCACCCGCTGCCGGTGTTGGCGTTGGGAGGGCAGGAGGAGTCCGTCCTGCCTCCGCCGTGAGCCCCAGGCAGGGAGGAGAAGCCCCCGGCCGGGCCGTGCACGCCGCTGCCTGGCCTCGGTGGTTTTCCCCGCTTGCCTGCAAGGCTCGGCTTTCAGGTGGTGGCGACGTGAGGTTCTGGAGGCTGCCGGGCTTGTTCTTATCAAAGGTCTGCGGCTGTTTATCCCGTGACAACGTGCGATATGTTTAGATCTGGCAGGATGACACGGGTAACCTATGAAGGAGATGTCACTTGCAATTCTGCGCTGGTATTAAATGTATGACTGCAGGTGTTTAACAGATGTGCGCTGCTCTGCACACGATAACGTTTAAAGAGCTTTGGCAGCTTGACATTATTTTCCTCATCTGTTTTTATTGGAAGGAAAGGAAGAAGCGAGGCGATGTCAGTTTCTCTTGTCAGCTTTCACTGCCAACCTGAAGCTACTCTGTAATTCCCGTGGTGCCAGCTGCTTGTGTCCCACAGCCAGCAGCCCTGCTGGGATGCTGGTGGACTGGACCTGGAGCTCTGGTTAGGTGCCCTAACAGCTGATAGACACTGCTACCTAGGCAATAGATCAGTATTCTGCATTCAAAATTCATGAAAAAACTTTGCATAAGCGTAGTTTGCATACATAGAAATAGTAAGTACAGAATTAGGAAACATTTTGAAGTGTTAACATAATACCTTAGGTACCAGGATCGAGCTGTACCATAACAGTTTGAAATATTACTTACATTTCCCAGTATGGTCCACTAGCAGATTCCCAAAGTATCTCTTTATGTGAAATTAAACTCTTTCTCTCTCTCTTTCTTTTTTTTTTTTTTTATTTTTTGGTAGTGAACTGGATGTGTTTTCTGTGCCTATCTTGGGCTTGTTTAACTTTTCATTTAGCTAAGAATGGTGATCTTTACCTTTAGCACCCAATACTGGCATGAAAAACTTGGTTCAGTTTCCTTTTTTTTCAGTCCTTTGCTTCATTATATTCTGCAGGAAACTTGCCCTGAGTGAAGATTACCAGGCTTTACGAGAGTGTGATTGGCATGTTGCATAAGTCTCACCTTTCCATCTCTTTTGATGATTTTTGCTTTTACTATCGTTCAGTGATACCTCTCAGCAGAGGTCGAAGTCGTGTTAGTTGAACATTGCTTTAGTGTATATTTCCAAATGTAGAAGGAGGGAATGTCAGACAGCTTACTTTTTTTCTCCTGATTAGTCAAAGCAGTGTCTCTGTTTGTCTTATCTTGAAAGTAATCAAACACAAAGTGAGAATCACCTGACGGTGACAGTACATATTCAAGGAGGGGGGTTGTATCCCAGAACTTGTATGATTGGAGCAGCCAGTATAACTGGAAAAACTAAAACTATTTCTTCTGCGTGCAAGCCCTATCTTGGTATGTTGTCTCTTATATTGTATGTGAAATAATCTTGAGTAAATACAAGGAAGAATTTCAAGTTGACTTGCCCACACCATAGCTTGTGACTGAGATTCTCTTCTGGGTTTCTTGTTATTCTTGCTATCAAGTACTTCTTCAGAGGTTTTGTTTTCTTTGTAAAACAGCTTGGGGCAATAATCTTGTGCTGCAGTGATTTTGTCATTTATTTTACTTGTAATGACCTCTTCCCTAATCATCAGTAAATCAAGAGTGATTTCGTATTTTGTGAACTTCATGTAGTTTTCCTTTTTAGGATTGAACTCTTAATGTGGAAAAAACATGATAGTGTTCCCAAGGAAATATTTAGTGCTACAGAAACAAGTTTGCACATTAAATATCAGTAGTGGAGTTATACGTGCTGTCCTCAGAAGTCTCTTCTTCCATTTCAGTGTAGTAAGAGTTGGACAGGCCTGTTGTGTACACACGTTGTGGATTATGTTGAGAGACCATTTTTAAATATATATTTTTTTGAGCATCATAAACTAAAGTGGTGGTGATTCAAGTGATCTAGGATACGGTATGGTAAGAAACAAAATACAGTGACGTGACAAGGAATGTTAAGTACTTTCTTTTTCCTTCTGCAGAAGACCTTCATGTAACTGGCTGAAAAATGGTTCTACAAGATGACAACCCCAACTCTAACACTATTGAAATGGTAAATAAAATTTAAAAGACTTAAAACGATAGCCATGCTGTTTGCTGAAAATTATAATGATATTAAGAAATGCATTTTAAATGAATATTCCCTCAAATGTCTCATTTGAACCAGCATCTTTTAAAATTATATCGCGTGGAAATGATATTTTCCTATAACACAAACAGAAGGCAAACATAGACTAGATTTAATAGGGTGTAATATTGTATTTACTTCTAAACCATCATTTCTATTTCTTCCAATGTGTCTTCTGATAGCTTAAATTTATCATAGGTTTATGCGCTTCACGAATTAAGTGTTTTATAATGGGGAAGCCATCTTTTTCAAGAGAAGGACCCTTCTTTTGCATGGTTCTCAGTTTAGGTCTCAGATGTAATATTAATGTGCTAAACTATTATTCTGAAATGAATGTATTCTTGCTAATAAGGAGTTCTGTGTGACCAGCCCCACTGGGTCTACAGCCCACAGCACATCTTGAGGGCTGATAGGGGGTAACATACAGTTCTTGCATGATAACTAAGTTTGGGTGTAAATCCTGAATGTGGTTACTTGAGTATAGCTAATGTGGATTAAGTAGGGATGGAAAATAAGCAACTGTATGGTATCTTTTAGCTTAGTAATATTTCATGTAGTGTGCATGGAGAAAAGATTTTTTAAGCAACTTCTTGTTTCTTTTTGTTTATTTCTGTTAATGTTATATACAATTACTTCTTTTGAGACATAAATAGGCCTGAACAAACAGCTTGAACTTTGTATGGATAAATACTTTCCGGTTTAGGTCCTGATTATCTGAGATGCTGATTGTAATCTCCAGTTACATTGATAGCATAAGGAAAATATGACCGGCAGCTGTTTGCATGTGAGGGCACTGAACTAGACAGGCATCAGAATGTACAGTGTGTACATTGTGTTTGTGGTATATGACATGGATAAGCACATGCCTGTGTCTTCAAAGTACATCTTCAAAACTGTTTTGACTGGTTTTAGTCATTCAGTAAACTGTGTGGTGAAGGGATTGAATTTGCTGGATGCTAAGCAGTGTTTAAATCTTGATGAGTTTAGTGGGGGCTGAATTATAAACTTATGTGGTCTATTTTTATAGTCTCCCTCTTAATCTATTTTAAAATAAATGAGAAGCATCAGTTAAACTCTTGTAGGAGGTAAAAGTTAATAAACTTTCAGGCAAACTTCAGAGGCAGTCAAAGGCAAAATTTCAGCTAAACATTTAGTGCTGCCCTTACTGCTACCTCTTCTTATACACACTTATTTGTGACTCATTAATGTGGGGTGTACATGCATATAGGGTATATGATACAGGGCATCCCTAAATAGTGATTAGCAACATGTAAAATTGTTAGATATTTCCATAAATAAGAAAAAACCTTCCTGCACTTTCAAACAATAAAACAGCTTTATTATTCTTGTTTGTCAGTTCCAGTTTGGTTGTGCATTCTTTTGTTGTGCATCATATATTTGCTAATGTCTGGATTTGCACATGGTTAGATATTAGATGGGCTCCTGGTTTGTATAGTATAGCACTTTTCCTCAGTCCCTAATATATTATGTTTCTTTTCTATACAGCAATTAAAAAAAAGTGTGTTAAATAATAATAATACTGTATCAAATCAAGGAAAGATGATGCACTTACACCAGAAATAATGTGGAAGTGTACCATCTGTCTAGATTTTTTAAAGGCTGAAAAGCCTATATGCTCTTCCACTGCTTTCCTAATTCTAACACTTCAATTTTTGCTTAGGAACGTAGGCTTGAGAAATAGGATCTTTCACTGCATTGCTTATAAAATTAGAACTAAATGTTGTCACCTTCGCATGTGAGCCTCTTGCATTCAGTTAATAAGGAAGGGACAGTGTTTTTTGAAATAAAGATAGTAAATGATCCTGTTTTCAAGCAATTCAGCGTTGTCCTCCCAGCATTTTTTATGGGAACCAATTGTTGAGGTTCTATATTTGTATATCTCTAACATCTAGGACTTGAGCTGCAGTAGATGCATGTTGAACTTGCAATTTTAGAAAATACTTTGTGAAGCTAACTGTCTAATATACACCCACAACATTTTTCAAAATTTTGTCTTTCTTTTTAGGAGACTATCTTCACTGTGACGTGATATGTGAAGTTTGTTAGCATTTTTTGTTTGTTTTTTACACTTATTGTGGAAGGTATGTATGCAAAAAAATAAAGCTTATTCTTTCTGCTTTCTTTTTTTATCAGAGTTTATTGCTGTCAATGTGCAGAAGCCAAATATAAAAGAATGTGTGGAATTGTTATTTCATTGCAAGTTTGGAAATACCAGTGATTTGTCAATAAGTTGGATAATGTGGCTGTCTAAAAATTCCCCAAATACTTGTTTCTACCTGTCTTTGCATTCTGCATGAAGTTTTACAGGTCTTAATTCAATCCTAAAACATTTTATGTAACTCTCAGTAGGGTTCTGCTGTTCTTTTGGTAAATTGTGGGTGAGGTATGAAAAATCAGGTACTAAAAAGGACATTGTCCTAATGAGAGAAATGCAAATTAAAAAACCATGTTATAGACACGTTAGTACTGTCACTTAACCATTTTTTAGTCATCTGCTAGCTTGAAGATGCATCTTGCTATATGATCACGAGTTGGTAGTCACCTCTTCTTGTTAAGCATTTTTTTCTCATTATGGGAGAATGATGCAAAGAGTGATTTATTAGGCACACAAAAATGTTAAACAGATACTCTGCAAATCAGATGAGCAGGCAGTAGCTGCTATTGCTGTAACATACTAAACCCCTCATTTTTGAGGTGTAAATATGTGCTTTTTAATTTGAATTTTAAAATCTACATGTAGGTAGAAAAGAAATGGTGTTAACACGTAGTTACACTCTGAATAGCTTCATATATAACCTCTAATCTGCAGAGTACAAGGAATTTTATTGTCCTTTACTTCACTCCCACTGAGGGATCCTAATGCGAGGAATTTGCAGGAGCCTCACGCAGCCAGGTTGGATACAGTGTTCAGCAGCTACAGAATGCACACAGTCTCTGCACAGATTATATGTGCTGTATGCTTTGACACAGTTTGTGGTGCAAACAGAAGAGCTAGTTGTGTAAGCATGTCATGTAGAGATTTCAAATCCGCTAGGCAACTGCTGTTCCTTCCTGTTTCCAGCTACCTATGCCCTTCCTACCCACAGCACGTAAGTGGTGAAAGGCTGGAGTAGTTTCCTCTTCTGCTATAGCTTACCACTGTTACTTTGTCACCTGGTAGCCTGACAAGGAATGAGACTTTTCTTCTAGCTCCTTTGGAACTTCTTTATGCTCAGCTTCCATTTTGGCTGCATGTTATGAAAACGTGGGTGATCTGTAGGCTACATATAATAAAATGTAATACAATGCCTTGTAGGCTATTAGTCATAATAAAATGGAGGCAAAGTTGGTAGAGCTTAGTACATAATATCTATGAAACTAATTCTTAACAACTCAAAAAACTCACAAGCTTTCAGGCACCAAAATGTTTCTGTTCAGTTACTTGGGCTTAAAATAATATACCTATTTATTTTCTCTTTGGAAACAAACGTTTTCTTCTTTATTCTGTATTGCATAAAAACTGCAGTTTCTTGCTGAGTCTTTCATAACGTTGCTCCTATCCACTTACAGACCTTGCTTTCTTTTGTCAGTCCCACCATTTTATCAGAAAAGCAGAATAATTATCCAGAAGTAGTGCCCACACATGGAATATATGAGCATAGAACTAGTGGTGTAATTATACTTCAGGATCTATTATGATTTTTTTTTTCTTTGGAAAGAAGCCCTTTGAGAAATGGAGAAAGAAAAAGTGTCTAGATTTAAATGTGTCGGAGAGTATATAGCAAAGGAGAGTCATGGAGCAAACAAAGGTGGGAAACAGTGTAGTGGTCTGAAAAGCACTTGTGCACATGTAAACATATAAGTAATTAATCTGAAGAATAGGCAAGTCTGAAAGAAAAATGCTGTAGCTTCCTTGCTGAAGATATTGTGGCACTGTCTCCTTCATACAAAAATGTTCAAGTAATGAAAAGGCAGTGAGTGAGGATATGTTGACATGTGGAAAAAAACAAAGTGTAGTGTAGTTTAAAGTCAAATAACTTCATTAGCAAAGCAGTTCACCTCTCTTTATTGGAAGAGTCAGGATTTGCTCCATAAAGGTGAATTACTTCTTAGTTCCTTGAGTTCTTTCATAGATAGTGAGCTTGGTTTTTATGGTGATAATTGGCAAGGTATGCTATATGTTCTGTAGTGAATCAACTCTTAATGCATTTTCTTAAAATAGACCCAAAATAAGATAATGTTAATCATAGAACTACCATATGTGTATCTCAGAGTTTCATTAGAAAGTATTTGAAAGACTCTGCTATAAGTGGACAGAGGCATGAGATGTCCATCTCTGCTATATACCTAAGCTTGTATTTGAAGATTTTAATCATAAAGTTGAAGGTTCCTAAGTTTGGGTCTTACAGTCAGCACTTGTAAAGCTGTATCACAATTCTGAATCTTCTGCTAGCATTAGTGAATGTGAGTGCATGTAGGTCTGGCATGTTCACGACTAGCACTTGAGTTACAACACAAGCAAGATTTTTAAAAGCTCCTCTGTCTTGTTTTTATTTTTTTTTGATGTACTTTATTGATCTCCTAATGTTTACTGAAAATACTGAAATTAATACTTTATTTGATGTAAGTTGTACAAAGTCAAGCCCTCTAAAGTCAGGATGTACCACTTCTTTGGCCAACCCAAACAAAAGCACTTCTGTTCTCATGTTTACTCTGTGATTTGAATAAAACAGAAGTACTCTGCCTACTGAGAGAAAAGGAGAGCAGGTTGGTCTGCGCACTGCTATAGTGCTCATCTCCTGCATCCATTTTCTCTTCAGAAATTTCTGTTGAGCAGGAATAGGAGTATACTCCTACTCTTCCAGTAAAAAAAAAAAAAAAGGCAGTTGAGTAAAATATTTAAACTGAGCTGGGCTTTCCTGGTAATTCACTAGAATTGCTGTAATTGAGACCTTTCTATCAATACTTTGGACAAAGATTTCTAAGGTCCATGAAAAGGCTGATAGGCTTGTGTCTGTCAAAATCTGAACTTTTTATGTTGTGATTTCTGGCAAGTCTGTACGGCTTTGATAAAGCTGTACTAGAAGACAAACCTAAACTTTGTGGCTGTAGTTTTGACGTCTCAGCATATGAAGTGTATGTAAGTGATTATTCCTATGTGTAACGTAGCAGGGACACAGTCAAAATCATAATCAAAATGTCTGAGCTTTATCTTAACCAGGCGAATTTTTCTTTTGTGTATATGCTTACTGTAAGTTTGAAAGTTTTTTACTGGGATTGGTGCGTGCCTGTACCTCATGAATTATCACACACACACACACACACACACACGCATAAAAACAATACATAAAAAAGTTATAAAACAATATATTAAAACAGTTCAAGTGCATGTGTGATGTGATTTTGTAAGCTTACAAGTAGGTGTTTTTTAACATTTTAAACATGGAGGGATCATAATTTATTAAGTGTTGCCATATCTTCAGAAATGTTTGATGAATCCTAAAGTTTAAACAAGTTTCTGACTACTGTTAGTTGACTTGTATTTGACATAACATGCCAAACTAATTCCTACTGTAAGCCTAGAGTATCTGAATTTACAGAAATGCATTGGTTTGAAATTTTGCAGAACTCGCAGCATAAAAATTCCAGACATTTTATGCTTTACCTACTTTTGCTTGTTTCGGTGGTGGAAAGGTAGATAAATTCTTGAAAAGCCTAGGTTGACATTTTTGTTGCTGCTGTCTCTGAAAGTCTTACGCCAGATCTGTCAAAGATCTGTCTTTTTAACAAGCGTAAGCATCTGCTTCCTGGTATATTGGGTCTGTTTCATATATGGAACACTTGGTCCTCTCTGCACCCAGCGTGTTTTTTTGTACGTTTTTACATTCTTGTTTGTAATAATTTGGGTTTTATTTCTTTATTAATACTGGACAGGTTACAAATGGTGTGGGTTTTTATCATGAATCGAATGAGCTCCCAGAGCAGTTCATCCTCTCAGCGCAGGCGAATGGCTCTAGGAATCGTCATTCTTCTCCTTGTTGACGTGATATGGGTTGCCTCCTCGGAACTCACTTCTGTAAGTATTGTTCTGTGAACCTTAAAAGAAAATAAAAGTCTATTTAAGAGAAAATTCCAGGGGAAACATGGTCACTCACACTCAGTAGGCATTCTAGCGTAAGGTTTGACATTGTTTTCAGTATGGGGAAGACAGTGTCCTCCTTCAATGAATTACTTTTACTGGAGTGAGTTACTTTACTGGATTACTGAAATAACCTGTATACATTAAATGTTATGAGCACGCACAACTCAGCGACTCCTGCTTTCAATATAGAAGGTATTATTGGCGATTTTAAAATGAAATAACATAAATTAATAAATGCGTACGGTAACTTGGGAATTGATTTTGTTTATTGCCATATTGATTAAAATAACACCTCAACTTTTCCTGAGAAGTAGTAAACAAGTTGTAGCATTACAAGTTAGTTAGAATGGTAGATTTTAGTATGGAACATCTAGAAGTCTTGGATTAAAGGACTCATGGGACATGGAGTTAAGCCCTGTAACTGCAGACAAGTGTGTTGTAATCTAGTTCATATATTCACCATCTTAAAACTGGTCTGCTATTTAAGTTTTAGGACCTGAAGTGGAGCTTTAGCAATGAAAATTGAATTGTAATAATTTTTTCTTAAATTCATGTTTCTGAATAGTTATTATGTTATGTGACAGTTCTGAAACTAAGTATTTTCAAATGTTTATGTTTTAACATGCTATTATTAATGTAACTTTTTTCCAATGACCTGGTGTAAACACTACTGATTCTGAAATACTACTTAGAATAACGTTCTCTAGTTTGTGAATACTATGTTATTGCTTATAAAAGTGTTTTTTTTTTTGTTTAAGAAATGTTTAGAGATGAGTGTATCTTTGGTCCTATTTGAGTTATATAGTATATAACACTATGTTGCTTGATACGTAAAAAGTAGCTTTCCTCTGGTGGCATAGTGTCTTACAAGATGGCATTTAAGATGCTTTGAGAGAGGATGTCTCCAGAACAGATAGGACCACTTATCTTTTGGTCATCGGTGCCAATATTTGCAATGGTATGACTTTGGAAACCAAACTACCATGGAGCATATATACCTGAAACTGTTCATTCGTTTTTATGAATTCGTACCTAACTGGTAATTTTGGATACTGCAATTATTTTCTTTCCACAGTATGTTTTTACGAAGTACAACAAACCTTTTTTCAGTACGTTTGCAAAAACATCTATGTTTGTTCTGTATCTCTTGGGATTTATTGTTTGGAAACCGTGGAGGCAACAGTGTACTCGTGGGTTTCGTGGAAGGCATGCAGCTTTTGTAAGTACTTTAACTTTACAAGAATTGAAACGTTTATATAAGTTTGTGCAGAATTATTTAAAATAAGGAATAGAAAAAGGTGGAATTAATATACTTGCTAAATAATGCTTTAACAAAAGCAGTTATAAACTGAATCATGGCACAGGCTGATGTGGCAATCGTAATAGTAACAGTCTTGTGAGGAAGAAAAATTAAAGAAAAAGCAGTGTGAAATATGTGAGGAATCATAAGAAATCTACTGAACCAGAGCATGTGCGCGTTTACCTTGGGCAGTTGCAGAGGATGATTCTTTTCAAGAAGAGCTTACCTGCCTCATTGTTGATTCCCTTTTACTTCTCCAGCATTTATAACCAATAAAATTAGTATTTGAACATAGTAGTTGATTTTTGGATTTTCTAAAAGAGGTTTTGAGTTTTTTGCCATCATATTTAGGAAAGGTGGTAGAATTGTGACTTTTTTGCTGTTAATGCTCACCGAAAGTAAATATTGGCAACCTTTTATGCATATGAATGGCCTTCTGTTGCCCATCTTAGAACCGGGCACAGTTTGTGCTAGAGTCTAAAATTATGACAGAAATAGAGGCATTTTCCAAGGAATTGAGAGATGTTGGGAAGAGCTCTTGTTCTTGCCAGTGTTTCAGAATGCTGAACAGCAGGACTCAGGAAACAGTAAGACATTCAGCCTTACACTAATCTTGCATTAAAATAACAGAAAAAGGTGATCCAAGAACATGCTGTTAATCAACATGTCTCTAAGAGCTTGTATGAGAGGAACATATTGGATATATATATGGATATATTGAGCGTCACTGATAGTGATATTTTAGGTGTAACATACTTTGTTATTGGGCTTAATGTCATACCTAACATGGCAGTTAAAACAAAACCCAAACTTGTTTAAAAAAAATTGTGCTAAACAAATGGAAATCATTTAGAGTTGGGTGATATCTTGACATATTTTTGGTAGGCCTTATGCTGTTTAGAATCTTCACAAGATAACTGGGAAATAAACAGAATTTACGGGTTCTTTACTGGCAGAAATGACTAGGATGTGATGAAAGCACTGAAGGGTGATTAGTTGTACAGAGCAGTTAAATTGATCAGGTTTACTAATCTAAGCAGATAAGTAGAATGAGCAGCTCTCACCTAGAGTGAAAGGTAGTGGTAATATTGACCACCTGGATCCAGACCAGTGCTATGGCAAAGACAGAGATGCTACTTAATTCTCATGTGAACTGGGCAGCAATGAGTAAGATTGGCACACACAAAACGTGACAGATTAAGCAATCATGGGACTGCTCCTGGAATCCTGTTATTTTCCTTTTATTTTACCCTATAAAGGTAAGTTTTAATAATTCGTAGGAAATAACAGTTGCTTTTGATGTTTAGATACTGTGAAAGAACAACACAAAGGACTGTAGAGTGCAATTAGAAGAAAGATTTTTTTTTTGTAGAGACTTTTGAACAAATTAGTAGATATTCAACGGCATAATTACTGTAAGTGCCTTTAAAATGCCGTGTGTTTGCCACTGAACAAAAATTATATATTTATGCATTTTTATTTCAACAGTGATTGTTTAGATAAAGATGCTTTACTGTAAGCCCTCTTCCGCATTAGAGGCTTTGTAGATTTATTACCAGAGTGATAGAACAGGAAGGTGCAAGTCAGGGAACTGGGTAGCCGTGCTTGTAAGGATGTAGAAAGGAAGAGGAAAAAGGATGGCTGACCTTACCCTGACTTAAGTCTTGTTAAGACTGAGGCAGAGTTCTGTGCTTTTACACAAATGAACTTTGCCCCAGTAAAGTGGAGAAACAAGAGGACTATTGTAATGTCTGCACAATAACTTAGTGCAACGTCTCAGTGACTGAACTTCGTAGGTTTTGGCTTTCCAACAGTCCGATCTTGCAGTGACACCTGGGTAGTTGAATTCAGTGGGGTTCTCCAAGAGGTAAAGGGAGTTACCAAAATGGGGTTCCTTACTGAACTTCTAAGCCCTCTTGGTTTTGGGGGTGAGGGTGTCTGTGGGGGGAGAATTGTGACAGAAATATGGAAAAAGGCATTAAAAAAACGTGTTCTCAAAATAAACAAGCACGGATTGTCTTCATAAATTGTTACATTTAAGGTTCTTTTAACTAGTTTGCAGATGCTGAAGGTTATTTTGCTGCTTGCACAACAGATAATGCTGTAAACAGTTCTCTGGTAAGTTCCTTAACTTTTAAATCTCAGTGCTTTTAGTAATATGACACCATTATCTTGACTTCTTGCCTTTAAAATATCTATTTGCATGTAATAGTTTTGGCAAAGGGGCTTGGTAACTCAAGTATTTTTTAAGTACTGCAAATAATGCTGTGACTTATTGTGAAAAATAGAGGGTCTGAACTCGATAAAACATTTACTTAAACGTTTCTGTAGTAGTTTGTGAAAGAAGTATTTGTCATAAAAAGGAAACCTTTTTCAGCTCAGTAGCTATCAAAGCAAAATGTGGAGAGCTAGTGGTAAAGCGGAACATCTTCAAGACCAACACACCAGAGCATCATTCAGTTGGTTGAGTGTCTTGTGTACTGTGATCCTGCATTGCAGTTTGGAAGAGAAATGGACTGCCTTCTTCCATCCAGTGAATGAAGCGATTACAGTTTACTAAAGCAAAAGTCATTGCTGATAATTCTGCTGATAAGCCAGATGTCATTTTTGCAATGATTTTCATCATCAACAAATGCTGTTTTTTTATGCTCCCGTTGCTCATGGACTGCTGGCTAATCTGCATGCTTAAATTGGAGGCAACATCCAGAAGTGGATCCAAAACATAGAACATTACTACAGTGCAAGCTTTAATAAAGTAGGGGAAAACAATTGAGTGTTGACAAACTGATACGTAATTTATATTTTCTACTGAAGGAGAAGTTGGAGAAGTTTTTTTTGTTTTGTTTTGTTTTTTCCCTAGAAGTATATTTCAATATTTTTTTTCCAACTTAATTTATGTACATTTAAAAAATAATCATGGTAGTCTGCTGAGTGCGTAAAGATCATCTGACCTTAGAAGAAAGATTCATGGTTAAGCTTGGACAATTTTGCGTTAATATAAACACCCACAAAAATTCTCGTCCTAAGGAAGGAACCTAATAAAAATGCAGCTACCAGATTTGTTTTTCTTATTTCACTCTTACAGCTTATTAATTTAATTTAAATAAGCAGCTTAACTCTTGGCTTATTGGAAATAATTTAAACAATTAAAACTCCTGCAAAGTGTCTTGTATACTGGAGGTCTTTTCCCAATTTTTTTTTTTTTGACATTTAGTTCTAGTTCATCAGTTTTTGGGAAATTTTGTATGGATATTCTGTATTTTATGTTTCTAGTTTAGCATTTGGACAGAGGCTATAGATATACTGAAACTTCTGTGATATTTTTGTGAGTTCTTTTTAATTTTAAATCAGTAGGTTTGGATTGTGGGGGGATGACCTTGGTGACTTTTGTGTTCATGAGGATTTACACAAAAGCACGCAGTTATTTGCGTGCTGTGTTTTACCAGTATGTTTAATGTAAAATACAGAAAACATATGAGCATTCTTGACAAGCCTGTCTGCTCTGTATAAAAACATTCAATTAAATTTTATTCTCAGTATTCACCAAACTTTTATTTTGTATTTATTTTCTAATAAATTAATTCAATTGCTTATAATTTAAATATCCTGCTTAACTTTATTTTACGTATACTGATTCATTTCAGAGTGAACCTTTATATGTTCCTGTAAAGTTTCATGATTTGCCAACTGAAAAAAGTGGCAGTAATAATAGTGATGCAGAGAAAAGTGAGTAAAGATTCTTTGGAATGCCGAAATGCTAGTTCTTTGATTTTTTTTTTTTTTTTCCCATTTACTGGTATAAGTGCTCTCGTGTTGCAGGACTGACTTTTTTTTTTTTTTTCCTCCCCATCCCCTCCCCTTAAATCTCATGTTGCATGAATTGCAGTCTCATATTTGCTTTCAGGTAGAGAAAACATAGGCCTATCGTTCAGTTTACCTTTCTTGGTCACTACAGATCCAGCCTATGTTTATCTCAAGGGACCAGCTGGGTTCAGTACTTGTGATTTTCCTTCTGGGCTTGTATGACCAGCAGCAATGAGTCAGCCTCTGGAAAAACAAGCTATTGTCCTTTTTAGAGCAGGAGCAAAGCAGTCAAAGTAAGAATTTTAACAGTCTATGTGCATTCTGATTTTATTTAAGCCTCACTATCTTGTGATAGTAGCTGAAATGGGCCTAACTGGCCCAGATAATTAAAGAAGGGTTGGCTGTCAAGAGTCCAGTTATCTGATCCTCAGCAAAAGTCCCTGTTTATAAAGGGGAAAGTCTCTTTTAATTTCTAGATGAGAGGTGTTTAGAACCACTTTAGTAGGCTCTACTGTCCTGTGACAACAGGCACCAATCATACGGTGATTGAGCTAGGCTTTTATCCTTTTTTTTTTCTTTTTTTCTTCTTAAATTTAGGAAATGAGGTATTGTTTCATATCAAATCAAGTTAGTACTCCTATGTAGCACGTACTGTTTTTCTTTCCATAGGAAAATAATACTACAATAGTCTTTCAAGTAAAATCTAAAAGTGTCTAGTCCTAATACTTGGTTTAGTTAGGGGATGAATTTCAAATGAGAAAGTGACCTTATGATTTCTGCTAAACTTTGAGGTCTGCTGGACACTGTCATCCTCTGAATAGAACACTGTCCTTGCAGTTAGGTATAGATGTGTGTAGTTTTTGGTTAATTTTCTTTAGCTGATTAATAGTCAGTTTTATATGTAATATTTGCCAATACAGAATAATTCGTACCCAAAAATTCATTGTCCTCTGGGATTGTTTTTTTTTTTTTTCTTCTTTCTGACAGGGAGAAGGGATGCTATTTTTAGGATTTTTTTTTTTTTGTGGATGGATGGACAACTGTATTGATTTAAAACAAAAATTGTGCTTTGTCTTGGTAACAGCCTGCTAAATAGCAAAATACTACTGTAAGAAATTAAAACAGTGACAAGTCTTCTATTTGGATAAAAAATTTTTATTATTTATGAATTATTTAGAATCATAATTTTTATTGCTTTTTGAGGTTTTTGGAACGGTTTAATGATCATGTACAACTTTCTTTCTTTTTTGTCCTTAAGCTCCCAAAAAGCCTCGTGTAAGGTTCAGTAATATTATGGAGATTCGACAACTCCCATCAAGCCATGCACTGGAAGCAAAGTTATCTCGCATGTCATATCCAGCGGTTAAGGAGCAGGAATCAATATTAAAAACTGTAGGAAAACTCACTGCAACTCAAGTAGCAAAAATTAGCTTTTTCTTTTGCTTTGTGGTACGTGCTCCATTCTTTCAGAAAACTATAGATGCATTTAAAGCTTGTATAATAATAGTGAAAATACAGTATTGAGATAAGTTGTGTTCTTTCTGCCTTTTTTTTTTTTTGTAAAAATACTGTAACTAGTAAAACCTGTCTCATGGTAGACATAAAGGTGAAACTTCTTAAAGGATGGGTAACCAAAAGAGATCTAGGGTGTGTAGTTAACAGTAAGGTCGGTTGTAAGATGCACCATGCTTTTGTGCCCTGTTGTCGAACACTGGACATGTTTGATACAGCAAAATCTGGGTCTACATGTACACGGGTTGGTCTTACCTCCACTGAAACTGCATGAAATGGTTAAATGTTACTGTGGCTTCTTTCTGTGGACCATCACAGGAAAAGCACCATCTTATCTGGCATTGTGCTCTCTCATAGTATGAAGAGAAGATGGTTAATTGTATTTCAGCTCCACTGAAGGCTGCAGGTTTTTCTTAGGAGTCTGTTGGTCATTGGTGTCTCTGCATAATGCCTCAGTGCTGGGGAGAGAGCTGATGGTGGCAGGATTTTTAAGAGACAGTAAAAATGTATAGAGCAGAGCAGTGAGCTTTTCTAGGCGTGAGTGGCTTCACTGAAGGTTACACGTAGTGTGGACCTGCCAGATCTTTTCTTCAGCGAGTGGTACTAAGTAAACATTAAAAAACAGTAATTAGTACTGTTGATGCATGGACCAGAAAACAGTGATAAAATTTTCTGTGTATACATAAAGAATATGCTTACAGCAGCAAGAGAAAAATGAGTCTCTTGTGAATGATTTTTTGGATGGTTGAAATACCTTTTCTTAGAAGTTATTTAGAATGATGTGTCTGAATATATTTCCATATATACACACATGCAAAATTTTCTGGAGTAAAGTCATTATGTTCAAAACATTCTTTTTATGCCATTCATGGATGCTGCTATTACCAGAATATATATGTATTTATTGGACAGTATAAATATTCCTCTCCAAGAGGAATTATTTTTCTCATTTTCTCTAGAATCAGTTTTCTCATTTCCTAAAGAGAGCGGTAACTTCCCTGAGAATATATCTAAAATTTTCTTAAGATATTAATCAAGAAATTTTATTTTTTAAACAAACAAACTTGCTGCTGCTTATATTTATGATGGAATTGAAAGACATGAATCTTTTCAAAATGTTTTTGAGGTATTAAATGTGATGCTTGTTTTTTATACTGCAGATTAAGCTGACTAAAGTCCCATGTATCACCAGAAATTTCTTCACAGCCCTTGTGTAGTAATCATCTTGAAGCACTTACAAAACATGATAAATGTAGCTTTAGATACCACAGAATAACTGTTATAATTTCATTTGAATTATTCAATTATGCTTACATTTTGAAGTATGTTATTTCACTATCACACACATGTTGAATGTGGTCGTTTTAATTTTGTTCTACTCTTGCCTGTCATGTAATGTAATCACTGAATTATTTTTCTCGTCCTCCAGTGGTTCTTGGCAAATTTCTCTTACCAAGAAGCCCTATCAGATACTCAAGTTGCTATAGTTAATATCTTGTCTTCAACCTCTGGTAGGTTTTATTTACAAGATCATACTTGTGTTATAAGGCTGTTTAAAATTCTTTTTGGTTACATTATGCTCGTGTAATGTTTTAGCTGTGGTTTTGGGGGAATGAAACCATTGAATGCATGCATTTAAAAATGTCAGTATGTAATTGCAAGGTTTTAGGCTTTCTTTATGATTCCCTTGCTTTTTGCATTTCAAGGTGTGTGTGAGTAACTATAAAGTATGTATTTTAAATAACTATGCTGGGAGTGGAATATGTTTGAAGGAAGGGTGGTATAACTTTTTGTCAAAAAAAGGTGCAATTCAGAGTAAAGTCATCTTGCCAATTATTCGTTTTAAAAAAATGGGGTTTGAGTGTATAGAACTTAAACCACCTAGATATTGTACATTTCATTTGTTTTTTTGAAAGGCTCAACTATGAGCTTTAAAACCAGCAAATTATGTTCATGTTTTGAGGTGTAACTTTTGTTTTATGAAATCAGTTTTAAAGGCACAATTATTTATTTTGGACTGATTTTTTAGGCTTGTTGCAGTTTTGTTAGAAATTCAGCTCTTCTCAGAGTTGAGTGTGTATTTGTTCATCTGAGGATTGAGACCACGATGTCTTAGTTTTATAACAGTTCTGTTTTAAAAGCATGGATGCTAAAATCCCATCGTTGACACAAGTGTGTAAAATGCAAAGAATAAAATGTCAGTGCAGCTTTCTGAGCAAAACAGTAGCAAAACTTGATTGTATAAACTGTTCTTATTTTCTCTTGCAGGGCTCTTTACTTTAATTTTAGCTGCGGTCTTTCCCAGTAACAGTGGAGATAGATTTACTCTTTCCAAATTATTAGCTGTTATTTTAAGGTAAGATAATGGAATGGAACATTTGATCAAAAACTCCCTGATGCAGTATGAGGACAAATACAATTATGATATCTGTGATGATATATTGATATGCTTCTAAATCCTTGCTTCATGAATAAATTGAGGAAACAAATTAAGAAGTCTTTTTACAAAATACCATGCTCATATAGAAAATAAGATTAATCCAGTTTCAGTTGGAAGTACATGGGTTTATTTTCTTTTTGTTTAACATTTTTGTGTTTTAAGCAGCATTTTGTATTTCTTCTTTTTTGCTAGCATTGGTGGTGTGGTACTCGTTAACCTTTCTGGATCTGAAAAATCTCCTGGAAGAGATACAATAGGTATTCACTTACTTTTTAAACCTTAGAATATGCAGTGATGAGTACCATCTTTTGTCAATTATCAGTACATTGTACAGCAAATTACATTTCTTTGTGTAACACAACTAAAAGCCTGGCTTTGTAGTTTCAACTTCTGAAACTGGTTTATAGCTTAATTGAGTCAGTATTTACATTATTGAGCTTTTTACATTTTTCCTACTTTTCACATAGTAATGGATTCCATAATAAACAATTTCTATCTCTGTTTGACAGCTTTATAATAGGTGTGTGTTTTGAAGAGCTGATCCTAGCAACACTTGGCATGACTTAAATCAGTGTTTTTCATCTTTACAGGCTCCCTTTGGTCTCTTGTAGGAGCAATGTTGTATGCTGTGTACATAGTGATGATCAAAAGGAAAGTAGATAGAGAAGATAAACTTGATATACCAATGTTCTTTGGTAAGAATAAAAACAATGCTATTGAAAGTTTTAATTCAATGTGTGACTCAGTTGTTTGCTTTCACTCACTTAACTATATGTGAGTGGTTAAGGGGCTTAGAAGAGCCAAAGAGAGAGCTTATTGTTCCCATAATTATCAGTACTTCAGAGAATAGTTGTATGAGATGTTTCTTTTTTATAGTCTCAACAAGGAACGATTGTTGTCCTACTACCTGAAGGAATGTGGACAGCCCCTTTTGATTCAGTGGATTTTTTTTCCCATTTCTAAACCTGTAAATGCATGACATAACTGTTTGTCAGCGTCCTTTCCTCTGTGTATGTGTATTGTCAGGGTAGCAGAGTTTGAGATTTTAATTATCTTGAAGCTGAAGAACATTTATTGTGATTTACTTAATGTTGTTCTTATACTCAGGTTTTGTAGGGCTGTTCAATCTGTTGCTGCTATGGCCAGGTTTTTTCCTGCTTCACTATACTGGCTTTGAAGCATTTGAGTTTCCCAGCAAACTGATATGGATGTGCATTGTCATTAATGGCCTTATTGGAACAGTTCTGTCAGAGTTCCTCTGGTTGTGGTATGTACTACTTGCTTCACGTATATTTCACAATATAAATTGTCTTATATGTGTTATCAAATGTTGAGATGTCAAATCAGTAGCTTTTTTGCTCTCTAGTTTGAGTTGCAGGTTGTCATCTGTCACATTACAGTGTCCCTTTTGAGAGCAACAGCAAACTTTAAAAAACAGGTGATGTGGACTTAAAGTATTCATTAAGATAAGCTTAGCTCATTATAGAACTAACATTTTGGTATGTTAGTTCTTCATTTTCCAAGGGCACGTAGAAATAATGAGAGACAGAATGCAGCAAAAAAGTTTTCTACAGTTTGTCTTCAGAGACATACTGTACCATATCTCATTAGAATGTGTTAATCACCAAGGTATGGCAATTCATATATTACCCTGAGTTTTGTTAATTTCATGATATGATAGTCTGGATAGGTCAGCAACAGAGAATCAAACAGGAGGTTTGTAGGAGAACAGCTCAAAAGCTGTAGCAAAGTTGAAAATTTGTGTATAACCGTCAAAAGGAGAGAGTGCTCTAAGAGCAGTGGTTGATAAGGTAGAGTTTCCAGCCTGGAAGAATTCAGGCAGCCAAAGTTTCTTCTGGGCTAGCATTAGGTTAAAATAGGAGTGTAACAGGTAATTCTATAAGTAGTAAAATCATATTTATTCTGGAGACATTAAGGAAGAGTTTCCAAAAAAAAAGAGGTGTTTCCTATGCCATATGGTTGCTCAGTGAACTAGAAGTCTGTTTCAATACTATGTTTTGAATATGTGTGGCAGTTTCTGTTGACTGAGAACCCCTGGCTTTCAATCTCTATTTGTGGTAGAGAGGATAGAAAACCTTGTGGGTTAGACAGTCTTAAACTGACATACTTCTGATCCTAAGTTCTCGGACAGGCCTACAATAAAAAACCTTAATGGAACCCCCCCTTTCTGTGTGTGTATTTTCAGCTGAAGTTTAAAATCTAGAAAGTTTAATCATGACTTTTTTTGTTTATTGGCAAAATTTTAGCCTATCCTAGGCATAAATCTATTTTAAAATATATACTTTTTTTGTAATTAAATTTAGTTTATTTATTCACTGAATACTTTTGTTAAATTAATAACATTCTGTAAGACTAGTTCAGTGTTGGTTGGTAAAAAGATTAACTGCTATTTTGACATAGGCCAAATGAAACACCAACAAAAACAAACAAAACCACCTTGGCTGTTGTCCCAAAATTAAGAACCAGCATAGAAGTACGTGGGTGGGCACAGACAATTCTTTAATACACCTGCTAGTTGTGTAACTTCTCAGAATGATAATCCAGTCAATTAAAGAGCTATTTTTATTTTCAGTTACCTTTGTCTAGAATTCTGGACTACAACTAATCTCAGTTCATGCTGACTTCATTCTTTACGTGTATAGTGTGGAGCTAGCATGGTCCTTTAATCTTTCTTTGGATGTAAATGCCATTTAATGCACTTCACTCTCCCCAAGAGTAGAGTCCTGCCAAGTAAATAATGTGATAGATGTGACCCTTTCGTTCTTTTTCTTTTTTTAACCCGCTGATAAATTTGGATTGGATTCTATGCTGTTCGTGCATTTATGATGATCTAGTGGTAAGGTTCGTTCTAATTCAGTAACAGCAGTCAGTGCTGCATTAAAGAAGTACTCTGTAATGATGCAGAAGGGGATTTAGAATATTGGGGGTGGGAAGGAAATTTGCAAAAATTCAGAGCATGCAAAAGCTTTGTTTCAGTTCTGTTTCTTTCTCATCTGCATACGTTTTTCTTTCTTTTGAAGACATGGAACAAACCAAAGTGATCACAAATGTTAAAACTGGTCATTTTCGTTTGTTTGAAAGTCAGCTTTATGGAAGGACCTAAGGGCTGGGTATAGGAGTAGTCTTCTGGTTGGAGAACGTGCACGAAATAATGTTCTGGAAAATGTTTTCCAAATATTTGTTCAGTTCTTTGTGTTTAAACGCTGTTAATAAATTCAACCACTTCTGTGAGGTGAAAATAGTATTTTCTTTAGTGAATCACATTTAATGATTATAGTTTCAGTGATGATGCATCTGTTTAATTTTACAGAAGCCAGAGTAAAGATTGTGTGAGTTTAAAACAAAATAAATATTACAACTAAAGATTTTTCTTTAAAATTAGTTATTGGCATAACAGATAGCAGTTCCACAAAAAAAAAAAAGCACAGCTAGTGCTGTTTTCAGCACTTCTCAAAGATGAGGAAAAAATGTCTTTATTTAAAAAAAACAAATAAAAAAATCCAAGTATCTTTGAAATAAGAGTTAACAACTCACTAGTAAACATTATTGATTTGAACTGGGTAAATACCATTTAGTTGATATTTTCTTCATATGGTAGAATAGACCATTTCATTGCTAACGAGACTCACTTGATGCTTGGGAATTTTTGAGTTGGTCAATCATAATATGGTAGTTGCAGTTTTTATTTTGGATTTTATGATGTTCACTTTATCAAAATGGCTCAGACTAGTCAAATTTTATTTATAGAGCCTTTGGTTTATATCAAAGTGCCGAAGATCTCAGGAGCTGTTTTACAAATCAGTGACTGTGGATATTACATTTTATTAAAGAAGATGACTGAAAGTTGAGCTTAATCATATACCTCCTGCAGTTTGATGTATTACTTTAGTTGTCTTTAAACTTTTATGTAAGAATTCTTTTTTAATTATTATTTTGTAGGGGCTGCTTTCTTACCTCATCACTGATAGGCACACTTGCGCTAAGCCTTACAATACCTCTGTCCATAATAGCTGACATGTGCATGCAAAAGGTAATGTACTACCAAGGTTTGAGCATTGTTAACAGACTGGAGCTGATCGTTCCTTATTTTTCCTTCCCCACCTCAAATCAATGGCAGTGTTATTTTTCACAATGTATGCAATGAACGGTATTCACTTATTTTAATTATTGAATCGCATTGTAATTAATCCTCTTTATATTGACAGTTACAGTAATTTTGCACTTGCAGGAGATTACTTGCGTACTTTAGTTTAGATCTGATTGAGATGCTGCTTGGATGGAAAGTACCCCAAGTCATCAATAATGCCTGTCAAATGCTTTACCTTAACAGGCACTTTCCAGAATTAAAGAACAACTGCAAGTGCAGCCCATGTTAAGACCTTTACGATTACAGAATTGCTGCAGACTGCCTATCTTGAAAATGCCCAATTAGTAATGAAATGAAAATTGTATGGGTTTATGACACAGGCATGTAGAAGCTACAAGGCTTAATTACACATTATTAGTTTAATGTGGATTATAGCTTCCATTTAACTGTCCTGCTTTAAGTTAGTCTAGTGTCATTGTTACTGAGCTAATAACTGTGGGAAAGACCCTGCATATAAGGAAAGAAAAAAGAAACAGGTAATCAGTTTAGAACAGAAACTATCTAAAATTGGTTTATATTACTCGTCAAGCTGTATAGATACTTCTCATGCTGATGGTGTAGAACTTCCAGATTTTATTTATGCATGAATTTCAACTCTGACTTTGAATATTTATTTGAATTTAATATTTAATCAGTGGCAAGGAATATCAAATTCTTAATTTAATGTGAATAATGATTATTTAGCATATTCTGCAAGCATACAATTACCGTCTTTTTTGTTTAAGTTGAGGTCATGCAACTGTTCCTGTTTTCTGAAGGCAAGATCACTTTTTTTCCTGCTCTTCGTTTTGGATTTATGTTATCCCTAGTGTTAAAACTTATATTTGAGAAGTTAAGTTTTAATTTGAAAGTTAAACCACCTGTTTAACTTTTTATTTCAGTGACTTTTGGCCCAATTTTCTCACACATCTGTGTAAGTTTAATCATTCTTACAGTGATAATGCCTTTTCTGGGGGACAGGGCATCCCCTACCTATAGCTTTTGATGTCACTCATTATAGACACTGGTGTATCTGTGACATGGCTAAACTAAGCATTTGCCATCACGTTTGTTTGCATTTTGACCATTGGTAAAATTACACCTATTATTATTATTATTATTTTATTATATTATTATTATATTATATATAATATATTATATATATAATGATATATATATTATATATTATATATAATAATATATATAATATATTATATATTATAATATAATAATATTATTATATTATTATATCATATATCATATATCATACATATATTATTATTATTATTATTATTATTATTATTACACCAATGTTAGATCATGTATAGTTGAGTGGTATGGAGAGGCTGCCAGAGTTGATGCCTGGCTATTTGTTTTCTGGGATGAAAAGGGTGAATTAGTCAGCCTTTGAGCACTTTGGCCTGGCTACAATTTATAATTGAAGCACATGGAGTTAGAGAACTGGGATGCTAAATTTTGTGTGAATTAGAAAGCAATTTAGTCATGGAATAGCTTAGCTGAAGATGATAGAAATTAAAACATCAAAACTGTCCAAACTTAGAGCTAACCATAGAATACTGCCACTGAAAGTGGTCACACTGCCAACTACTGCTTGCTCACACTGCTTTGATGCTCTTTTGAATTCTTTAGCAAATACAGCTATGTTGAGTTTGTAAGCAATGTACACCTAGAAATGTGGAAATATGTGAAGGAAAAAAATCTGACTATGCCTGGAACGTAACAAATTGAGCATTTTCTGAGTAGTGTCATCCCTGAAGCAGATGTGGTTCATGCATTATCTGTGGTGGTACAATCTGTGACTTGTATTCAGTCACTACATTTGAGTTTTCGTCTGTTTCTTTTGAGGTTTTTGTTTGTACAAGACTTACAAGAAATAAGGTGGTAAGTCTTGCACTTAGAATGGTTCCTGCCAAAAAGAAGCTACACTGAGAAATGTTTCTACAAGCAAAGTGTCAATTCTAATGAAAACTTTTTGACTTCTGAAATTTTCTGGCAGACATGTAAAACGGGGCAAGGAACACCACAGAATTTGTATTTCACCCTTGTTTAATGTCAGGGGAGATTTGGGGAAAATAAAGCAGAAAAATAAAAGGATAAAAATAATGAAAGTCAAATTGGAAAATAAAACGGGAGACAGGCCCAGAATAAATAGTCTTGTAACAAACATGAAATAAAGTATATTTCATATTAGTATTACCTGAGTCTTTCAACATGGAAATGCAGCAAAACCTTGCAGCAATTCTACCTATAGTAAAGCAGTCACTGGTAAGATAACAGCATTCATTTTGCTGTTCAAGTGTCTGCAACATACGCTTGGGACGTAAACTGTAGCAAGAATGTAAATACTTCATGGTAGATATTAAGGAAAAAATGAGGAAAAAGTAAATTTCTTACCAAAAATCACTTCAGTGAGGTGGAATTAGGTTTATATGTAAACTAGTTTTAATAGCATTTTTTTTTTAAAAAAGCATTCATTTATATTTATTTTTTATCTATTTTTATGTGTGCAAATTTTTAGATCATATGTATAGTTAGATATTGATATTTGAAAATCTTAGGCTGTCTTCTGTACTGATTCATCTAAACTTTATTCTGCAGCACAGTGAAAACTGGAATGTGTTTTTCCTAACTCTTTGTAAATAATTTCTTCTCTAAGCTATTTGATCTGAGTAAACACAGAGTCCGGATCTTTAAAACACATTTCTTCTCCATGTACACATGCAATATTGAGTTAGCTGAAGTAGCAGAATCATCTTTAAAGCTCTGTTTGGTGACTTTCAGTTGATATTGGTAGCACAAGGGCAACTTAATTTTTTAACTCGCTTTTATAGTTATCAGTGTTTTCACTGTTAGAGTTACTCCATGTGATATGTATTTGGTATTTAAAAAAAAAAAAAAAAAAGTAGTTAACCATTAATCTAACTTCCGGTACACCTTGTTTTCACTTGCTCTTTTCATATCCCTTATCTTAAATCTTCACCTTCCTGTATTGTCTCAGCTTATGTGCTGGCAACATCTTTCATAATCCGAATCTTCATGCCTTTTTCATTCCCTCCACCGTTATTTTCATTTGCCTACACCTGGTTCTTTCTGGAGGTTCTGAAAACCTATTTGCTACCTTCCATTTCTCTTAATTTTACTGGCCTTGTGTAAAAAGGCTGCTTTGTCTTCCTTGGGGTAAATACAAAACCTGACTATGTTTAGGCATTTGACCATCTGGTGATGCCTCTTTCTTCATCTAACAATTCCAATTTGTTAGATTTTGAGAGTGAGCATCAGTACTTGGTATCAAAACTGTACCTTTTTTTTTTCCCCTCTGAAATCTTCTGTTTTGGACTTTTTTTTTCCACAAGGGGGAGCTGTGCTTATGTTTCATTGCTCTGTAATCCTTAAAGACATTTCAAACAAGATTATAATTCTTGCACCCTTGATTTATGTAACTTTCTACAATTTTAAGTTTAAAACTGTTTCAGATGATCAATTCTGAGTACTAGTAGTATAGGAACAAGTAGAATTTAATTTAAATTGAGAAAGTATTGTGCCATGCTTTTTTATTATTATTATTGTTTTTAAAAAAAAAAAAAACACAAAACTGTAAGTTTCCAGTGGGGTAGTCTTATCTCTGCACGTAGATTTCATCAGTGACTGCTTAGTGACAGGATGTTCACAGTGGATAATCAGATGTACAAATCTTTCAGGTGACTTTTTTTTTTTTGTCCAACGCTTTGGAAGTGACTAGGGGACTTCCTCATTTATAACCAACAGATGACTGCAGCCTAAAAATGAGAGCATCTTTAAATAGCAGATTTCATCTGCACCACAGCACAAACAAAATGTTTGGATGTACAGAACAGAAAAAGTGTTATTGACTTATTAGAAGTAGCAGTGACTGTAGAAATTGTACCAAATGACTTGCAGAAATATTTGTAATATTTCACCCCATTCAAAAGAATTGTGCATCTTAAAATTGCAAATAGTTTTAAAATAACTACTTCTAATATACAGTATACTCTAAAGGAAAAAAAAAAAAATGCTTTCTGAATGAATGATGTCTGTGTTCCAGGTGCAGTTTTCCTGGTTATTTTTTGCAGGGGCAATCCCTGTGTTTTTTTCTTTTTTCATTGCAACTCTTTTATGTCACTATAACAACTGGGATCCAGTGATGGTGGGAATCAGAAGAGTTTTTGCCTTTATTTGCAGAAAACATCGAATTCAGAGGTAGGACAGTCACAAAATATGATCCTATGTCTCCTTTCTGATATCCTGTAATTTTTTGTAAGCCACAGTATACATGCCATATTTGTTTTCATCTAATTTTGTATTAAGATGGCTGACTTTTTAGTTGTAGTACTTGCCAATCCATTTATTAACCTATATAATGTTCAGAAAAGGGAAAGATTTGAAGTCTGTTTATTTCTTTTTAAATAAGTTTCCTAGTGGCTATCACACTTGATTATTTTTTCTTAATGCTTTTATAATAGTTACTGTATCCAAAGCATGCAGTGAAGAAGTGCTAACTTTATGAAGTGAAGGGGTTTTGTATATTTTTAATGGTGCAGTTCAAACCTCTATAGCACATTTAGTACTTATGAAATGAGTTGCTTTGATGCCAACATATTACTGTGTAATTTAAATAAATAAATCTGTTTCTTTTAAGAATGCCAGAAGAAAGTGAGCAGTGTGAAAGTCTCATTCCTATGCATAGTGTTTCACAAGATGGGGATAGTTGCTGTTCATAGACAAAAGGTATGCTAATAAACAGATTTGAAACAGTATGGTGAAAGATGAGGATCCTATTTCATGATGGCATTTGTTACATCAGTACACATTTTTACAGAGCATACAGTTAATCTTGTTTTGAATTAATGGATAGAGTTTTAAAGAATATCTTCAAAATCCGTATTATTCTATACCAAACATTATTCTTACTTTAATGTAGTTCTTGGCCAATGGTTTTGAAACGTAAAGTAGATTTTTACTTTAATGTTTACATTTTCTCAATGTGACTTTGGGGGGGGGGAGGAGGGTGACATAAGACAGACAGTGGGGACAGGAGCAGGAAGAGGTAGGAGGATTTAGGTAATGTAAAAAGAAAGCACCTGTACCTTTGAAAAGTCTCATAGAAACTTAATTACTCAAATGTTAAAAAAAATAATATAATGATTGGGGAAAAAAGAAAACTGCCTTCAGGGGGCACAGATGCAGTATATTACAACAAGGAATACCTAGGGAGTTTGCAAAATAACCCTCTAAGAACAGGTTGCACAAATCTCTAGCAGGATTATTACAGATGGTTTGCTGATACTGTCTTGGAGCATGGAGATGGACTTAGTTTTTTGACTGTCTTAGCCCCGTGCCTAGGGGCTGTAGTTTTCAAAGAATGTATGCAGAATTTACGTGATCAGGAGTGTATTTTTATTTTCTGATGTTGCTTAAACGTAATAATGAAATTAAAAATATACTTACCATAAGAGTAATTTACAATGTCTTAAGCTTTGATGCACTAGCACTTCCTTTTGTTTATTAATAAGATGGAAACACACACAGTGATTCCCTTTTGTAATTTTTAATTATTTAGCACTGGTAACTTTTTTTTTTTCTTTTCCTTCTTAGTTTAAAAATGGAGTGATGCCTAGCGAAGAGACAATCTTCTGGAAAAGTCCCTAAGGAATCATGTTTCAGTGCCTATTCTGAATTTTTAGTAAAAATAAGAAGTTTTGGTTCTTCTGAAACGTTAATGTTTTCCTCTCTCCTGCTTTCATCTGGTTTTATAAATGAACAAATTTACTACATGCATATCACTGTAGGGAGTCTTAGTCCATCTGAGCAACCAAACCTGCCTTACAACACTGAGCTGGTGAAGTTACTTGACAAAATCAAGAAAATGAATGCTGTTAAGTGATTTCTTTCTCTTTTTAACTCACAATTTTGTTAAATGCTGGACAATATTGTTTTTAAAAAATACTTTCAAATGCATTATGTAAATAAGTTTGCAGGTTATCACGTCTTACAGGCTTTTTGATGAAAAGCTAAATAGATATGTTACCTGTAGTAGGTACAAATTAACTTTTTTATGTTGTATAGACTATTTGCATATTAATAGAAGAAAATAGTAAAGTAATTTATTAAGTGAATTCTTGTAATTATTGAGGCAGGATCTTTGTACGGTCCTGGAACACTACATATATATTGTTTTATCCCATTTTGAGAAGCCTTGTAATGGCAACGGGTGCCGATGTTTAAAAATCTTGTATTACCTAATGTTCTGGAATGTTTACAATTTTAGTGAATGATACAATATTTCTAATGACAGTACATTTGGGTGTACATTCTCAAAATCAGTGTTTGTTTTAAACAGACTGATTCTGTAACCCATCATTCCGAATGATCTCATACAGAAAACTGAATTTGAAAATTTTCATTAGTACAGCTGCCAGCTAAGAAACAGATCAAATTAATTGTTGAAGTTTTCAGTCAGTGGGTTGCACTATGAAAGATAAAGATAATTATATTGATTTTTTTTTTCCCAATTGCATTAATAAATTTTTTCTAAAATTGATCGTTTTCCTTATAACCTGCATCTTCCTTCTACTGCGGCATTTTTCCTATTTAATTGTGAGAAGTTAGGAATAATTAAGTTCAGGGATATTTGACATAAATCAGTAACTTTCCCAACTTCTGGTTATAAGACACTTATATTTTAAAAAATAATAATAATTTTGTCTTTTGTATGATTTTGTTTTATTATAATGAATAAAGGACAGATTTTTAGCAAATAGTTTTCCACATAAGAAGTCTGTTAATAACATAGGGTATTCCATATGCCTTCCAAGACCAGTTTTGGTGATTTGGTGACACAACTACTAGACTAGAGGGAATGCAAGAAAGTGACATGTTTAGTGATACAGTTACAAGACTTGATTTAACCAGCAGCTAGAATGTAGAATTCTTTATGTAGAGAAGAGAAAAAGATACCCAGGAGAAATAAGTGAATCTGGGGACTGTTCTTGTTGACTATTGCACCTTTATAAAATTTTCCCTTCCAGTTCTTAATATTGGATGTCATTAAAAGTTGCAATTATCTGAGGCATCTCTTTAAGATGATGTAGTAAGTCTTCGGATACCTGAGATAGGATTTTTTTTTTTTTTTAAATAAACTAATAAGATTATTAATTTTTCTGTGGCATTTTCAGAAACTTTCCATTTCAATTCCAAAGCCCAGTAGTAGAGGGGTTGAAAATAGAGTGTGTAAAACTAATTTTACATTTGACTTAGAATTTTCAGAGATTTCTTTGGTAAGAGGAGTTTACAGTAGTTTTTCTTCTAAATTAGCACAAATTAGAGGGTGTTAGTTTCAGCTTTTCCAATAAATGTTGTTAAGGCTTACTGGCAATAAAAAAAATGATATCCGTTTTCTCCTAATTTTAACATTTCAATGAGATCATGCCATATACTCAATACCAGCCATTAACTACAAATTTACATCTGTTCCTTTACAACATCTAATCAGTTACAGCTTCAGCAAACTAACCTTAGGAAAACTGAGTTTGCTTTTAAATGGGCAATTACAATATTTTTAGCTGAGTATTTTAATAATGTCGTCTGAAATTGGTCACTGATAGGATTGGAGGGATAACGCATGGTGGGCAATTGCTACCATATTTGTTCATGACTTAGAAGTGAAAGATCATCATTGTCTCATCTGTATATGATGTCTGTTAAGTGGCATTGTTATGTTAGAGAGGTTTAGAAACTAAGTACTAGGAGAGTGGTGTTCTGTCTCTGACCCGGTCATCTTTCTGTTCAGCAGAGTCAATGTTAGGGCCTTCCCACTGCTTCTGTTTTTAACAAAAGATGTATTAATCTTTTTTTTAAAGATACTTAATATTTTAATCTTATGTCGCTAAGTAGCTTGAGCAGCCTTTTTGCATTAAATTACAGTTCTTTACAGAATAACAATAATAAAAAAAGGCAAACTATCCTTCCTGAACTGCCATGGATTTTTAAACAGTGGTGCCCCTGTGGTTACAAGAAATATACTGCAGTTTTATTTACTGAAGTTATGACATGTAACATCGTTCCTGCATTTAATAGAATGTGATGAGATTTTTCTATAAAATCTTGTGATTTTTAGTACAATAATATTTTATAAATATATCGTCTTATTTGAAATGTAAATTGCATAGTTCTCTAATGGGTGTTTGGTAAATGCACAAGAGATTTAGCTTTGATTCTCAGGTACCTCTGATGTAATGGTGACATGCTGTTTTTTTTCCTCATGACACAACTGGAATGTGAAGGCGCTCCCGTAAATGCTTTAACACTGTGCTAGCATAAATTGTCATTGTTCCTACTGTTTCATTTGGGAATGTCTTTATTCTGACTTATTTCTCACAGGAAGTACATACTTCAGATGCTTAAAGAATGATGATTTCCCATGCCTACAAAACGGAAAATGGGTACTGCGTGTATTGTTCTGTCAAACAGCTTAAGTAATTCCTACAGTCCTATGAGATAACCAAGAATTTCTTCCTTGTGTGATTTGAGCTTTTGAGTTGTTCAGTTTTTATATCTGGAGGAGGAAATGGCGATAATTTGCCAAATGCCATGTAGCATGTCTTAGCTTTTAGGGTTCTGGTGAGTCTTGCATAGTTCAGCGTACTGTGTACTGTAACCCAGTACAAAGGAGAAAAACATCATGTAGAGATATTTTTTTTTTTTGAGCTACTTTCTCTTCGGTTTCAGTCATGCCAAAAATGTGCTCACTGAGAGGGGCTGCTGTAGATGTAATACTGATTCAGCAAAGGTATGAAATACGTGTGACACCACTACTCAGCAGTTAATTAGAAAGTATGGGGCACAAGAATGTCACTGAATTCACCAGAGGCCCCATATTTCTGTTGTCGAGCATGCGCTGCATCTGGCTTAGGCATTGCCTTTTTGCCCATGGATATTGCTGTGGGGAACGTGGCTGATTTCAGCTGAGAAGCTGCAAGGCTACGGCACAGCCTGGTTATCTTACTGGGGGGGAGCAAAGGCTGAAGTATTTCGCCACAGTAGGGAGTTGAACTGAGAAACCATGGTGCTGCACGTGAGAGGTGACCCGGAATGCTGCTCTATGCATTGCGCACTGCCATGTAACGTAAAAGAGCCTGTGAGTTGCTTTTCTTGGTGTGTGCTGTTGGAATACTCTCTTTCACTCTCCCCATTGTGCCTAGGTACTCCTATTTACTAATATGATTGCCTTAAATAAGGTGGTGATTTTTTTTTTGTTAATTCTAAGTTCCATCTTTCATTGGGGTGAAAGTCATTCCTATTCCCTGCTAAAAAAAAAATCCTTCTATTTTAAGGAAACTAACTTGAGCTTAAGCTAAGGCTATCAGAGGAGGGGAAAAGTAGTTAAACTTGGTGTCTAAAATTTATGGTCATGCTTCCAAATTTCATATGAAGATAGGCCTCATTAAGGCAGATTGTGTGTTTGTAAATGAAGATATAGGAAGTGGCATGCTCAAAATTCAAGAAACGAGCTAGTGTTTAAAAACCATGTTGAGTTATATGGCTAACTATAGGGTAGTGATTTTTAATCAGTTTTCTGTATTTGGTCTAGGTTTTGCGTTAGTTACAGTTTCTGTTAGGATTGTCACAGGTAGTATCTGCAATGTAATAGCTGTCTGCAACAGCATGGAAGTGTTGATGGCTCACTGACAGTTGCTATGCATGATTTTTTTTTCTTTTGAATCTAGGATTGATTAATGGTGTATTCTGTTTAGTGTGGTTATTGCATGGCATGATTTCTCAGGGAAATGTGGATGATACCATGCATTGTATGAGCTGATAACTAACTCCTGCTTTTAAAATTGTTCCAAATTTTCAGGTTTCGCTCAGACATTTCATATCACATGATTTTCATGTTGAATTTCCTTGTTTGTTAGGTGAATCACAATGATAATAGCATCTAAAGGTGTCTGTAAAATGTGCACTGCACAGTACTTCGTTAGCTTTTGGACACACATCCATTCTAAATTGATTTTGCAATTTGTTTTTTTTTTTTTTTTTTTTCCTATTTTATTGCACCATGTAAATTAATAGTTGCACTTTTGTTTTCAGAGCTGCACCTGAGGCACGAGAGTGACATTAACTTTCAGGTTTAGACAATGCTGTAGTAATACATGGTCTGACTATGGGGTAGAGTCTTCTAACATAAATATATTTATTTTTATCATTAAATTTTTACAAAGTGTGTTCACTTTGGGGATATTTTTTGTTTGCTTTTCCAGTAAAGTTACTTTGGCTAGGCTGGGATTTTATCCAAAGCCCACCAGTATCATAGGCAGCATTAATAAACTAAACCTTTATTGAAATACTCTGCAGTCAGGTTGACCTTTTATGCCTTTGCAGTATTTCTGTCTGCAGAATACATCTGAAGTAGTTTGCTCTAGGACTTCAGTAATATAAAATTGAGGGATTTTGTGCTGGGAAAAATGGTAAACATACTGTAACTGATCACAGACTGTGTTTCTCTATGGCTGGCATGCAGCTTAATTATTTAGAAGGTGAATTTGTCTTGCTACATGATTTTTCTGTAAAATCATCAGTATAAGAGATGTTAACCACTTTACTTAGTGGTATACTTCAAGGAGAATTTTTTTTTTGTCAATAGTGAGAATGTGAGCATAGCGATCATAGCCCAGAGGATCAGCTTCCCCTTGATGATTTCTGATTTGACATTTCCACTTACTTTGCAAAGAATATAACAGGACATTTCCCAGCTAGTTGAAACTTCTGTAATTATATTTTGATTACTCAGATTCTCTCTACTGCTATAAACCTAATATAAAACACGTAATTCTAACAGAGATGTAACCGGTCAGCTTTCTGTCTTCTCGCTCCCTCCCCGTTGATGTATTGCATCATTACATCCGGTGTTTGTAGGTAACCGGACTTTTTCGGGAATGCATGCCATGATGAGGAGTTCATCCAGACTTTAACCTAGTTGTCACTTCCTACTTTTAAAAGCATAAAAGGCTTTTCTTTGAGGATTCAGTAAAAAGCAGCTGTTCAGTTGAGCTACAGTTCATAAAGTTGCATCCAATTTTCTTTTCTTTTTTTTTTTTAATGAACTTTTGACTGTTTTATCAGGAAAGATGCACAATTTGTTCACGTGTTCCACGAAAGGTGCATTGGAATGGCCTCAGAAAATAATAGTGTGGGGATATTTGTATGGTTCTTGACATATGGTTCTAAAGGTTTTCCATGGTTTATTTAAATAAAAAAATAAAATAAAATAAAAATCAAGCTGAGGAGAAAGTAGCCATATAGCAAAGAGCTAAATTTATGATATGCACATTACCATGTTTTCATTAAATATCCTTCAGTGTATTACTAATATTGTCAGCCCACAAGTCTGCTTTTCCTTGTCTGTTATAGGTAATGCTTCTCTTCGATATAAATCTGACCTTTTGCAAGTCAATTAACTAGATCCCCCATCACGAGTGATTTCTAAAATATTTTAGAATCTCCTCCTTTTAGCCTTTAGCTAGAAAAACAACAGGGGCTTTCCAGTATCCCTTTCCTGTGGGAGAAGGAAAAGAGAAAAAGAATAAATACAATAATTTTTATTGAAAATAAATACAACTTACTGGGCAGCATATGGGATCAGCTGTAAAACCATCGAGGTAATTGCTTACATAGCACAACTATGTACAGGACGTGTTTAGGCAATAATTGTGCATTAAATTGATCTCTCTGATCTTGATTTACTATAGAATGTACATATTTTAAGTCTCATAATTTTGTATTGAAGCTGAATGTTTAAGCCCTGTGACTGTAAGAATCATGGAAAAATATATTTAGGGAGGTAGGGTAAATGATAAGGATTTTCTTGGTTGCATTTTGGGATTCTTAGGGGTTTTTGTGTGTGAGAGAGTTGTTAAAAGTCTCACATATGATCCAGTTACAAATGAATGATCTGCCTGTTAATCAAAAATCTTGAAACTGTTCACACAAAGCTCTTGTGAATGCTTATCCCCTTGCTCAAGTTGATGTTATCTCAATGGAATTAGTGTAAGAGGTGTGCACTATGGACTTCAGCATTGTACAATCGATTGAATCCTTGTAATGATTTAAAACTTACTCAGATTTTTTAGGAATGAATTATCAGTAAAACAAAACTGTACCTGAAACTTTTTGTTTAGATGTTTATACTGATTGATTTCTTAAACATCTAAAATTTGTGCATTAAAAGATGCACAAACCCAATAGTTAGTAGCTTTGGTCTTTTTGGCATTAAATTCTGTACTAAATTTCAGCTCTCTGTAATTTGAAGATAATTCTGAATGTTTTTAAAGCAGAGACTGCTTTAGCTGAAACTTTAAACTGACAAAAGCTTCTGTTTGCATGAAGTTTGTGCCGTTCGCTGATAATTCAGATGTTCTGAGAGCACAGATACTCGCAGGTATGCTTCCTTTGTGAAATACCTTTATGCATAACAGTTTAACCGTTTTCCTTAGTGAGATCAGAACATGAATTGCTGATGAGTATTGCATTTGCACTTAAATACCTGATTTCAGAGTGTGTTAAACCTTGTCTATTTCTGACAAAAAACACGGCATTTTCATCTAATTTCCATTTAATGATAAGTATATTCATGCAGAGAAAAACATATAATCATGGCTTGATGCAGTGATTTATGCCAAGAAAACAGCAGGATAGCAGTAGTAACTCTGAAATGAAGATGCACATCTCTTAAGAAACTCTGGCTTCTTGCTCTTTGCTTCCCTCTGTTCTAAACAGGTGTCTCCACTATTCCCGATTTGTACAGCTGAAGCAAGGACCTGAACTTTTGCCCTTTGTTTTTTAAAAGTGAATGTTGACTTTTACCTGGAGTGTCTTTGTCCAATCACTTCATTTTCTGAGGGGATTCACTTCATTTTCTGAGGGGATTCATTTAAATGAGAACTATAGAATAAGTATTTTTTATTAAAATCAGATTTAAGCTATTAATTATTTTGAAATTCTCAATATGAATAGAGATCTAATGAATGGAAATTATAGGCCTATACTGCAAATACCAAATACTGCTTATATATTTTTAACAAAATCAGTATATATGTGATTATTTGAAACATGTATAAAGGTGAAAATGGGAAAATCATTCTTGTGTTGATAGATTTATAAATTGAAATTCTGAATATCCAATACCAAAACCCTATGAAAGGGCTAGTGAAAAGAAAATGTAATGTGTTCTGATAAACAGCCTGTGTAATACAATCGCTGGGTGTGATGTTTTTGTTCTGTATTATATTTATTATATGTAAGTAAACAATAAAGATTATAAATCATATTTTCTTAACAGGAGTTAGTATTTGGTTGGGGTTAATGCTTAATGTACTTTATAACATCATTTAAACTCTGAATGGTTGCTAAGGGTTGCTGCCTGGAGAGAGCAGCATAGTGGTGAAAAGGTCTTGAATTAGCCCCCTTAATTCCCCTCTTCCACTGCTAGAGGTGAGTCTCAGGATATCTCACCTTACCTGAAGTCAGCTAGGATGCCAAAGGTTACAACTTGGTCTCAGGTTGGCCTGGTAATTAAGCAGTGAAGTATCCATTTTTAATCCATTTTCATGACTAGGTGGTTTAGCGTGCTCATATATGAATTATAAAATACTCTGGAAGACTGTGTTTCATCAGCAGGGGGAGCTACTGTAGTAGCTATCCATCGTGTTCCTGAACTTTAGCGTCAGAAATGCCATAAACAGTAAAATGCACTTAACATAGCTGTTTGTCATCCTTGATCCTTAACCGGTTAGAGTTAACCAGGACTGGACACTGGCCTTCTGTCATGCAGTTGAACTTTTAGTGTCTTTAATTATTACAAATCTCTTGGGGATCATAGACACCTAAATACTTACTAGAAAAATTAGAGAAAATATTTTGCTACCATAAGCTTTTGAGTTTTCTGAAATTTAGCTGAATTCTGTGCACTGATACAAGCAGTGTTGCTGCACAGGTGTAGCAGGAAGCAGAATGACATAAAAACAAGAGGATACTTGCTGTGCCATATCAAAATCTGCAGATACTTAATATGGCCCTACGGACAATGCAGATACCAAATAAATGACTCCAAGTTTAATATCAGTGTTTCTTAGAAAAATGGTAAATGTAGGTACAAACACGCGCCAAATACAACTCACAATGTGGAGAAGGAAAAGAGTGTCACTGCTGCGTACAGATTTCTAAAATCTAATTACCTATAATAAGCAAGCATGATGTAATCAAAACAATCATTTTATGGAAGCTGCAATTACAGTGACTGCACTGTCTTGTGAATGTTTCATTACCAGGAAGAACTATTAACATTGAAAAATAGTTGGCCTTTTTTTCCTTCCTTTTCTGTTTTTTTTTTTTTTTTTTTTTTTTTTCTCTTTTAATAGGCTAATGAATTGCAGTGAGAAACTTCTCTACTTCAAAAAGGATTTATAAAAAATCAATTGGCATTTTCACTTATGCAACAATTTATCCTTGATATCAAAAGGACAAGTATCATACGTCATTTTTTTGGGGGGGAAGTCTTCTGTCTTTCAGCATTGACAAGCAACTTTGAGAGATAGGAAATGTAGCAAAATTTTGAAGTCAAGACCAGTGCACTTCAGTACTTCATTTTTTTTTTCCAAGCTAATTAACGTAGTTCATCTGATTGCTTGGCAAGCAACAGGAATTCTGGAGCTCAGGTTAAGAACCTGAAGTGAGTTTGTATTAAAATTTTCTATACACTTGCAAGGGGAATTTGGCAATTACATGCCTTGCTGTTACTAGTGTCCTAACCGATAAGTCGATGTATTTTTATCCCACTAGGCTAGCAAGTTCTCAATTGTTTTCTGTGGTGTCTTGGCACCTTGTACATTTCTATGTACAGTGGGATAAGCTAGCACAGGCTCTCTGGGTTGCTTTTCACTCTCTGGGACATAACTTGTGAACATATTCTCTTAATCTACTCTGTATTCTCTTCAGTTTTAGGAGATGCATTTCATGAAGCAGCCTTTTGCCAGAAGCTTAATGTCACTGCTAGGGGAGGTTTAAAGCTTCTGAGATGTTTTATACCATATTTCAAAGTTTTTTTCTTCTATCAGTAGTATGTATGTGGAAGACCTTTTTTTATTTTTACTTATGTCTGCAAACCAAGTATATCCAATTTATATTGATTTAAAAAAAAAAAAAAAAAAAAAAAGCCAGAACTTACAGTTTCCAAAGAACCCATGGTGTATCATCTCCACGTGAACTCTCCTTCCTTTCTTCCCCTCTTTCCTATCCGTAGTAAAAGCTTATGCAAAATAAAGTCCATTTCTAGTTTGTGGGGTTGCAAGCTCTCAGGACTTATTTTTGGTAGGGTTATCCACTGTCTTAGAATTCACAAAATTTCATATTGTAAAGATTCCTTAATTACCAAAATTGGCTATTCTTTGTGGGAACGCTACAGTGCTGTATCATTTACTAGGCTTTGATTTAACTACTAGGATCATGCTGCCAATAACAACCCTGTGCTTCTACTACAAGTAGGTGTTTACACAAGGCAAGGTAAAGATATATTCTGTCTGTAATAGTGTTCACATTCAGAAAGTGTTCCCAGAAGCTCATATGCCAGTAGATTTTTTTTTTTTATTTTTTAATCCAGTTTGTAAAAGACTTCAAATTATGTGCAGATAGCTTCTGTGGCTGGGAATGTCAGTTTGTGGTGGTACAAGCAAGCTGTGGTAGTGCCCCAAGGCAGGTTTCTGGCCATGGGACACATGGTGGTCTGAGAGGAACAGAAGATGAGGAGGAGGTTTGATGTGAGAACCACTGAAAAATGGCGTTTTCCTATGCACGCCTTTCCCCAAGTCCTTCTTGCCCTTTTATATATTTCCTTACTCACAGAGTAATGTACAGAACATGCTTTTCACCAACTGAGATCACATCACTAGTTTATAACATATATATATATATATATATAAAATATTACGACAGTATATTAGTAATTTAACAAACGTATTTTGTTAAAAACATTTTGACACAAGTGCTGAGTTTGCTTCCCTTCTTCATTGTTGAAAAAAGCTGATACGTCTGTCACTCTTCTGCATGTGACTTTTTCCCAGAATTTGCATATAATCAACCACCAGTGAATGGAAATGTGCCTCAAGTTCTATAGCTAGTCCTATTTAATTGCAAGTGGCTCATTCTTGTATGCAAAACTGCTTAAAAATGAGGTTGGATTCATTCTTCCTCACACAGGAGGGTGTCACCCAGAGTGAATTTCAAGTGTAGGAAAAGAACTTCCTGAATAATGTGTTCATAGGGATAAGGTAAAAGAAAAAGTCTCAAAGTATTTTTTGCGAGGAAGTGGTTATGGACTAAGCCAGCCTCCATTCTGAGATACTCATGTGCTGTTGGGACCAGCCTAAGCTGGAGAAGAAAAATAATAAAAGCAATGATCTACCACGAGCTGATGGAGAGACATGGGAAGGGAAAAAAGAGTCCTTCAGAACCAAGAGGAGTTCCAGTATGTGGGGTGCAACTGAGCTCTTGCAGAAGGAGGCAGCCTGAGATAAAGTTATTTCTTTCCTTATCCATTCCTTTTGTACTTGAAGGTAGGCTAAGGATTGGGGCTCACGGTAAAGCTCCAAGACAACACAAACAACACAAATTTGTGAGAATCTCAGCTGTTACATGAATAGTGAATAAATAAGCTTAAAATTCTCGTGGATGAAAAATTTCAAAACACCAAAAAACTTAACTGGCAGAAATAATTCGTATTGAAACTAAATTTTTTGTTTAAATTGCCTTGAGCGGTCTAACTGCTACATAGGTTTGATGACACGGATTCATTCAGGAAATAATGCTAATATTGTATTGGTTCTTTGCCAAAGTAATTCCTCAAAATGCCTCGTCAATGCTTTTAATGACGTGTCTGTGCTTTCTGGTTCTGGTCTGCCAATCCATATCCTCCCTTTGCAGATGATTTTTAAAATTGCCACGTTTATGTCTCCCTTTATAAATTCTTCATTTTGCCTTTTTTTCCCCTCAGAGCTTAAAAAAAAATAAAATAAAAAAAATTGAATGCTAAATTGCTTGCAAGATTGGCACCGGAGGCATGCTTGCAGTATAATACAGAAGCACAAGTACTGAGGATTTGAGAATACCTGCTTTGACTATTTCTCCTGACAACACAACCGTACAAGGCATATGGTAGCCTTGAACTGTATCTTCAGAAAAGCTCTGAACAAAGCCTCTTGTTTTCACATAATAGTTGGAGCTTGTTGTTTTACGTTTAAAGAACTTTTTGCATAGCTTTGTTTTCAGGGGGTAATAGTTCAGACATAAGTTCTGTGTAAATGCAATACAAAATGGACTCCAAGGAAACTTTACAATCTTAAAGTAAATTTATTGGTGTTCCCTCTGATTTGGCACATACCAAAGGCTAGATCTTACATTGGGATGCTTTGAATATTGAGGGTGGACATGGTACTACTTCTTCCCCTTCCTCATCATTGTGGGTCATATTTGGGAAAGTCCCTTTGCTTTTCTGTGGTTTCAGTTTCTTCAGTTTCCCTTCCCTTAAATGTTAGTGATTATAGTTTTCTTCTCTGTGAGGTGAGAACATATTAATGGTGTTATCATGAGGCATTCTTAAGGAAGTAAGAACTACAGCTTTCAGCCTGAGCCCAGCAGCAGCATTGCTATGCTCATCCTCATATTCCCTTAAATCTCCTCAGTTCCCCTTGCCTTGCCTTACCTGGGCTACTTGGGCAATCAGTCTGCTTCCAAAAGTCCTTAATCAGCCCTGCTGATTGTGTACCTGTACCATGAAAAGCCCTTGTTGCAATGGTGTTGCTGTACCAATGGCCTTATCCTCGTAGGAATCCACCTACTTAGCTGTTTTCGTAATCAAGAGAGAACTCACAGAGAACATGACAAAACTGGGCCTGTCTATACATAATTATTCTGAGCTATTTTTTTAAAAGTACTGAAATAATTTTTATGTTCAGTGTCCCTTAGCCCAGACACAACTTGCAGCATCAAAACACCCAATGTCTGGGTATTTTTCTGTTCTAGAAAAATCTGCATATAATAATAATAATAAAAAAAAATCCCATAAGCAATATTATTTCATCACTCTACACCCACAACCTACTGAGACTAGATTTTTGCTTCCTCTGAGCCACCTCACTGGCTCTAAACCCGTTCATGTGCCTCTAAAACTGCTTCTGCTGCACTCCGCAAATCAGCAAGCTCAGGTTAGGTAGGAGAAATTCCTCCACTGGTAAATGGACTGATTATAGTAGTACCCCGGTGTGGCTTTTGTCTGCT